GATGCTTATATGTTTCATTCATATACATATGTGTTCTATAATTTGATTTAGTTTTTTCCTAGATGAATGTGAATTAAAGAATGATCGGTGCATTCAAAAGATGAAAACATAGTTAGATCCGGTAGAATTATGATCTTTTGATCTGTTAGTCAAGCTAAGAAACTACAAAAGTGTAAGACCATCATATCAAAGGTGTTACCTCTCTATGGAGAAGATTGTTTTTATTTGGTGACCTCATCTTAGCTAAATTTGTACGATTTGGTGAAAGAACAATTTTGGAGATAATACTAAAAACCGTCTCTTATACCACTATGTCTACGTCCCAAAAACCGTCTCGTAATTCCTCGGATAGCGTCACAAAAAAAACAAAAAACAAAACTCATTGTTAAATATTGGCGTTGTAAATTGGTAGCAACATAAAAACTAAAATGTGACTACATATAAAGTTGTAAATTGGAGACTATACATATAATGTGACGCCTTAAACAATCGCATTATTGTAAGACAACATTGAGACTTAAAGCCTCTAAACGAAGTGGTTTAGTAGTCACTAAATTGCATCATATACACCACAAAGCCTAAATAAAATTCATTGTCAAAATTTGCTTACCCGCATTTAGTGTAAGTTTTATACGACATGTTTTACAGCTACTTTAAACATTTGATGACGTATGTTTCATTACATTTTAATTTACTTACATAATATGGTTTCAAGCGTATGAGAAAACATATCATTGTTGAAAAATACGAGTATATAGTGCTCTTATAAGACGATATGTTAGGCAAACCTTTTCATAAAGACATGGATTACTCTTTCTCAAAAAAAAAAAAAGGCGTGGATTACAATGGTAGAAGTCTAAGAACAACATTACGATGAGTTAATTCGAGTGGATTGTGATGTTCTAAACATCCTAATAACTTTAATTACATAAATTTTGTTTTTGGATGTTAACTCCGCTATCTATACTGGAAATGTTCTATCTTTTTATGTTTTTACGTTTTGTTTATTGTGATCCTTGTAAGAACTGTCAAGTGACCGCCAAAGCAAATATATAACTCCACGGC